AAGTGAAATAAGCCAGTAACCAAAGGACGTGTATTGTATAATTCCATTAAATGAAGTACATAGAATAGTTCAATTAACAGAAAAAGAAAGTAGAATGGTGGTTACCAGGGACTGGGAGAGAGGGGAGAATGGGGAGTTATCGTTTAACGGGTATTAGGTTTCAGTTTTGCAAGACAAAAATAGTTCTAGAAATGGATGGTGGTGATGATTACACAACAATGACTGTACCTAGTGCCACTGAACTATATGCTTACACATGGTTAATATGACAGATCTTATGTATATTTTACTGCAATAAACAAGAAATAAACTAGATGCATATATATGGTTGCCTGATTTATAAAGAAGGTGACAGTGGAGAAAGGATGGTCTGTTCAATAAATGGGACCAGGATACCCTTCCCAGGCAAAAAATTTTCATCCCTAACTCACACCACATAGAAACATCAATTCCAGATGCATTACAATGTGAAAGCTGAAACCATAATCCTCTTAGACGAAAACATAGAACAGCTTTATAACCTTGGGGTTGGCAAAGTTGTCTTAAATAGGATGCAAAAAATTCTATCACAAAAGAAAAAAATTAAAAGTCCAAATATATTAAAAACTTATGTTAATCAAAACATACCAACACGAGTGAAAAACCAACCTCAGAATTAGAGAAGGTATTTCTGATACACATATCTGGAAAATGACTCATATCCAGACTCTATAAAGAATTCTATAAATCAATATGAAGACAGACAACTCAATGGAAAAATAAGCAAAAAACGAACACGGTACATAACCATATGGTCAGATAACACATGAAAAGATGGTTAATTTCATTTGTCACCAGGAAAATACAAATTTCATTTGTCACCAGGGAAATACAAATTAAACTACCATGAGATATTGCTACAAACCACCAGGTTTAAAAGAAAAAACTAAGTATTAGTGAAAATGTGAACAACTAGAATTCTTGTACATGCTGAGAACTGTGGTAACTTTGGAAGCTGGGAGTATCTACCATAAGACATATACTACAATGCATAGCAGCACTTTTTATATCAGCCTCCAAATGGAAGTTACTCAAATGTCCATCCACAATAAAATGGATAAATAAATTGCAGAACATTCATCCAATGGATGACTATATAGCAATGGAAAGAAACAATCTATAATAATTCCATTTCTTTAAAGACCAGATTATGAACTTCAACAATCTATAATATGCTAATTTACATGAATGAATCTCACAAAGTAATGCAGTACCAAGATAGGAAGCCAGTTACAAAAAGAAAACATGTAAAATGAATCTGTGATGTTATCAATCAGGACAGCAATTACCCCTTGGTTGTAGGAGGGGTGGCGATGCAGGTAGTAACTGAAAGATGGTCCAAGTGCAGCTTCTCTGATACAGTGAATGTGAAGGCCATTGGTACTGGCAAACTTCTTAAAAAGCGAGATAGATGAAGTAAAGATGATATATGCAGATTTTTTGGCAACTGTTTTAGGTTTAGCCATCTAGGAGGTTATGAAGGGAATGCAATTATAGCAGGGGGATTATGTGTTAAAAATGACACACTATGCATAAGATATTGTGCTTGACAAAGGGGTGAAGTCATTCAACAAATATATACCAAGAATCTTTTATGTGCCAAGCAGGTTGTAATACAACTCCTTCGAGTAGAGGTCAATACACACATCACACACGCACAGTGTTAAGTGCTGTAAGGAGCGGAGAACAAACACACACAAGAAACAAAAAGAAGAGAGTAGAGAAAGACAGACGTACTTGACATAAAAAGTGGTAGAATGATGGAAGCAAGCCATAACAAAACTATCTATGCAGGCAATGGTGTTTGCTTATCTGCAAATCCTGCCTTGGTTTAAAACCAGGGAATATGGGCTGGGTGCTGTGGCTCGAGGCTGTAATCCCAGCATTTTGGGAGGCTGAGGTGGGCAGATCGCCTGAGGTTGGGAGTTGGAGACCAGCCTGGCCAACATGGTGAAACCCCTTCTCTACTAAAAATACAAAATTAACTGGGCGTGGTGGCACATGCCAGTAATCCTAGCTACTGATGAGGCTGAGGCAGGAAAACTGCTTGAAGTCAGGAGGTGGAGGTTGCAGTGAGCTGAGAGCGAGCCACTGCACTCCAACCTGGATGACAGAGTGAGACTCCATCTCAAGGAAAAAAAAATCGGGGAATATGGTGAACTAGAAACAATATACACATAGGAACCCAACTAGATAACTTAGTTAACCATAATTTTCTTCAACCTTGGTTGAAAAGAACCTTTCTTGCTAAAATAAAATCATTACTTATTTATTTATTTTGAGATGGAGTCTCACTCTGTTGCCCAGGCTCGAGTGCAATGGCATGATCTTGGCTCACTGCAACCTTTGCCTCCGGGGTTCACGCAGTTCTTCTGCCTCAGCCTCCTGAGTAGCTGGGATTATAGGTGCACACCACCAGGCCCGGCTAATTTTTGTATTTTTAGTAGAGATGGAGTTTCACCATGTTGGCCAGACTGGTCTTGAACTCCTAACCTCGTGATCTGCCCACCTCAGCCTCCCAAAGTGATCACAGGTGTGAGCCACTGCGCCTGGCCTTATTTTATTTTATTTTTTCGAGACAGAGTGTCACTCTGTCTTCCAGGCTGGAGTGCAGTGGCACCATATCGGCTCATTGCAACCTCCGCCTCCCAGGTGGACAGGAGCGTGCCACCATGTCCAGCTAATTTTTTGTATTTTTTTTTTTTTTTTTNCAGCACTTTATTTATTTATTTATTTATTTATTTATTTATTGAGGCAGAGTCTCACTCTGTTGCCCAGGCTGGAGTGCAGTGGCGCAATCTTGGCTCATTGCAACCTCCGCCTCCCAGGTGGACAGGAGCGTGCCACCATGTCCAGCTAATTTTTTGTATTTTTTTTTTTTTTTTTTTAGTAGAGATGGGGTTTCACTGTGCTGGCCAGGCTGTTCTCTAACCCCTGACCTCATGATCTGCTTGTCTTGGCCTCCCAAAGTGCTGGGATTACAGGTGTGAGCCATCGCGCCCGGCCTCTTATTTTTTTAAAGCTATCTTCTACGGGAAGAAAAGCCTAATTTTTTATTTTTATCTTAATTCAAGACCAACTCTTGTTCTGTTACCCAGGCTGGAGTGCAGTGGCAGGATCTTGGCTCACTGCAACCTCCGCCTCCTGGGTTCAAGTGATTCTACTGCCTCAGCCTCCTGAGTACCTGGGACTACAGGGGCCTGCCACCACAACTGACTAATTTTTGCATTTTTAGTAAAGAGGTGGTTTCACCATGTTGGCCAGGCTAGTCTCAAACTCCTGACCTCTAGTGATCCGCCTGCCTCGGCCTCCCAAAGTGCTGGGATTACAGGCTTGTGCCACCACGCCCCGCCGGAAAGCATGATTTTTAACATGGTTATGACAGAAATTAGATTAGAAGGAGGCCTGTAGTAGAAACATGGCCTCTGGGTAGACAAGGAAGACAAATTAGATTCAGAAACGGCAGGGTTACTCTTTCAGATTTACTCTTCTCCGAGTTGTCAGTCCTAGTCTACAAATGTGAACAAACATTAAAGCAGATAGGTATGCATGGCGGAATGTGAGAAGCATTTGTTTGGTATACACGAAGTGCCTGTTGTGTTTTCTGGTAGAAGACCATAATGCATTGGTGGAGACAGATATGTCGACAAATTATTCAGATAAAAGTGTACTAAATATGCAGTGTAATTAGGAAAAACCCTAGGGCAAAAAGAAAGGCGTGACAATGCTTTGGGGAATTTGAAATGGTTTTATTGTGTGACATTTAAGTTGGCCCTTGAAGGATAGGTAGAAGTTTGTCAGTTATGCTTAGAAGTGCAACCAGCCGGGCGCGGTGGCTCAAGCCTGTAATCCCAGCACTTTGGGAGGCCCAGGCGGGTGGATCACGAGGTCAAGAGATCGAGACCATCCTGGTCAA